ACCTGCGCGAGATGCTGGCCGTGTCGGTGCTGGCCGCGGTCCGCGGGGGCGACGAGGTGAGGCGCGTCCGCGAAAGCAACGTCCTGCACGAGAAGTCCAAGGGGAAGACGCGCGAGGGAGCCGACGACAAGATGACCAGCGGGGACGTGCTGTCCAACCGCAAGATGTTCTACCTGCTCAAGACCGCCTTCCCCAACGTGCAGGTGGGTGCCGCGAGCGCCGGGCCCGTGGGCGCTGCGGGGAGCCTGGGGACCTGTCCCATCGCGTGGGCGCCTCCCGGGGCTCTGGCTCCCGTTTTACAGACGCGGATGGAGATTGAGACGCCGAACTCGAGGTGCTCAAGGTCGTACACACAGTGTGTGGAAGCGCCGGGTGAGCTTGCAGGCAGCCTGACTACGGGCCCATGCCCTCTGGCCCCTTCCCGAGGGTGCGTTCAGCTCTGCACCTGGGATCAGGAGCTTTGGGTTGTGGGTGGGCTTTCCCATCGAAGGGCTGAGGTTACCTTAACGCCCTGCCTCAAACTGTTCTGTAAAATGAAAGGGGTTGCACCGGAGCCTCCAAGTCCTCTAGCCTTTCTTGATTTAATTACTGGAAAGAGCGTGACTGTATGTATAATAAATGTTTTCTGGCCGACCTACCAGGAGTCAGCTGAAGGCCAGCAACTGTGGACGAGTTGCTCGGGCGCCCGGCCTTTGTGGGGTGGATGCTTATGAATTACCTTAGTTGTAACGTTATCAGGACCCTCTTAATGGCACATATTTTGGGGGCCCTTCAAGGAGGTGTTTGGAAGTATATTTCTCAGCAACTTCATTTCAACCGTCTATCCCTTATTTGCTCCAGAAAGTAAGAATTGAAGAACATTTGCTCTTTCTTTGGGTAGAGTTTTGGTAAGGAATTACTTTCTTAGGGAAATTCAGACATTTTGGCTACTGGGAAGAAAAATTGTTTCCAGTGGAATTTAATTAACTAGATAAACAATGAGATCTAACCTGGGGCTTCTTTGGAAGAGTTAGGAGAGTATTGGTCATTGTAGAATTACATACCATGTGTGAGCCTCCTTCTAGTCTGTTTTATTATTTCTGTGGTTTTCTTTCTTCCTCTTTTTTTTCCTGTCCTTAATTTTTTTCCCCAGCAAGGAACATTGGCTTTCATATCATGAGCTGCTGAATACCACATGTAATTCACACAATTCTTAAACACAACACACAACATTGTCACTTTTTCTTTTGCCCTGCCCTTCTTTTTTACAGCTTATATTACACTGTTTGCATCTCTTGCACCCCCAAGACACAACATTCTTCCCTGTAGTTGGTGGAAGAAACTGGGGTTTCAAAGAAGTTGCTATAGTTATAACAGTAGCGATTTATCGAGTGTATTCTAGGTGCCCGGAATACACTCGATACTGGCCACACAAGACTTCATTTGATCCTTATGGCAACTTCAGAAGTAAATTTTATTTATGCCCATTTTGCAAATGGGAAATCTGAAGTTCATGACACTTCACTACACAGCTATCTAACTCTTCATTTTAGCTAGATCTTTAGGAGGCTACTTAAAACAGAATTTATAGTGTGGTTTCCTAGGGAAATATAAAATTGTAGAAACTTAAAAGCAGAAATAGTGAAATATAGTAAGCAGAGTTGAATTTTTTTAAGGTAAAGATAAAAATATTCTTAAATATTGAACACTCATGCGTAAATCTGTGCGTGTGTGTTCACATGCAAACTCCACCGCACTCTACCTCTGCCAAAGCTTTTGTCTTGGGTAACTTCCACAGGATTCTGAGTTTGCTTTCTCACTTATTAGCAAACACTAAGGGAATAGCTGCCAAGGGAGTGAGCTGCCTTTTATTAAACACTAAAGCTAAGCTTTCAGAATGTAGATGTTGAAGTCTGCCTTTATATAAAATAACTTTTTATTTTCTTGGGTTTGTTTGAATGTTTGCATGTACATCTTTAGTGTTCATGTTGGATGGTGATTGGTGGAACAGAGGAGGCTATGTTAATTTATACAATAGCAAAATAGGATGGTGTCATGTCGAGCTATCTCTTTTTGTCACTATGTTGTTAGACTAGAGGCCAAATGTTGTAGCCATCTAAGTAGAAACTCAGCCATACATTCTTTTCTTTCCTCACTCCCTTCCCCCAACACTGAGAAGTACAGTCTTAAATATCTTGTTGTTTTTGAAGCTTCACCTGCAATTTTTTTGTAAGGAACTTAAATCCCACTCAGTTTATTTTCTCATGAAAAATTAGCATCAAGAAGCCACAGATACCCTTTTCTTTTATACTGGTGCCCCATGCAAATGGAGAGAGGTCTCTTTTCAATCCCATGACTTTACTAGAGTAAGATGCTTGAGCTTTCCTATTTAATGTTCACCCCTCAGAAAAACTATATAGCAGATTTCACTCTAGAGCAGTGATTTTCAACCTTTTTTATCTCATGGCGCACATAAATGAATTACTAAAATTATGCAGCATGCCAAAATATATTCTATTTTTTGCTGATCTGACAAAAAAAATTGGTATAATTTTGATTCATTCACACCGTACAGCTATCATTGTGTTGGCTGTTGTCATTTTTTTATTTGACAGTCTAAGGGAAAAGTCAGTGCCCCTCACTAAATAGTCAGGTGTTCCATGTTTTAAAAATTCTTGTGGCATGGCATTGTGCCTCCTGCAGCACACAGGTTGAAAATCTCTGCTCTAGAGCACTAAAGTGGTGACAGTTTTCCCCTCAGGGGACATTTTTGTCCCTCTGGAGATTTTTGGTTCTCAGAACTAGGGGTAGAATGCTGTTGGCATCTAGTAGGCAAAGGGTAAACAACACTATGCAGAGAACATGGCATGACATCTTGTCCAGTCTCCAGCCTAGGTGATCCTGGCCAGTAATTATACTTTGAGCTACAGTTTCCTCTCCGTTAAAATTAGGATAACTAGTAATGTGATAATCAGTGTAGCAGTAAGCATTGCAGACTGAAAATAATCACTTAATAGTAATAGCAGCCAACTTTTATTAATTACTTATCTGTGTTAAGCACTGTACTGCTTGTTTTACCTTCTTTATTTCATTGAGTCATCCAAAGAACCCTATAGGCAGATCTATTTGTCACTCATTTTTAGCACTTGGTAACTGCAACTCAGAAAGATTAGTTGACTAGCCTAGGTAAGTCACATACCCAAGACATCAAGGTGCTGGAATTCTGCTGTCAGGACAATCCTCTTAATGGTTCTTTACGGAGGTCAGTGGTGAACTTTGTGAGTGCGTGCTTGGTGGCTTGATGGGGAAGGAAGCAAAATTGAAGAAGATGTGAGGTGAGGAAATGGAGACAGTGTGTATAGACAGGTCTTTACAGAAGTCGTGCCACTAAGGAGCTTGGCTAGGGTATTATTTGGTACTAAGCAAAGGTTCTGTGGATTTTTTTTTTTTTTTTGGTATGTATGTTTTTAAAATGTGAGACCCTAGAGCCTGCTTAATTATTTATAGGGATGTATTTGAGAGGGAGTAGTTGATAGTAAAAGGCTTCTGAGAAGGTAGGAGAATAAGATAGGTAGAGCGATGTTTATCCATTTAGAAAATAGTTGTTGAATTCCTGCTGTGCGATAGGCACAGTGTGAGGCATTGTATCCAAAAACTTACTAAGATTTAGTGATTTATGGAGAAATGCAGTAAACGATACCTTAAGGTATTAACCAAATGCCTCTTTAACCCCACAGTACCTGAATTGTCACCTAAATAGCATTAGTTGTGTGTTGGAACCTTGATTTCTTACCCCTCAGCTCCCTGTTGAGGACTGGGACAGATAGGCTTAGCGATGAGGGAGGGAGAGTAGATTGAGTGGGAGAGGTTATGGAGAAGAAATGAAGCTGCGCTCGTGAAGAAGGTGGCCAGTCAGGGATTTCTTGAGCACCTGTTATTAAGGCGCTGGCTTAGGCAGTGGGGACGGGGCTGCGTAATGAACGAACTGTGTCTTTGAACTCACCGATCTTAATGTTCTAGTGGGTCAAGATAGATAGTTAACATGTAAACAAATAAGTTGACTTCATACTGATAAAGGCTTTGAAGAAATAAAAGTGAGAACATGTGAGAAGAGTGATTGGGGGACCCTGCTTTGGCCATGGGTAGTCGGGGAAGGCCAATCTGAGGCACTGTCGTTTGAGCTGAGAGCTGAATGAAAAGCAGACCGTCATGCAGAGATTTGGTAAAAGAGAGTATGAGTATAAGAGCACAAGCACCAAGCTTGAGGGCAAGGGACCAGAAGACAAGTCAGTTTGAAATGTAATAAATAAGAGTGCAGATAGAGAAAGGTTACTGGGGCCAGGCCATCCAGGCCTTTGCCTTGTAGGTGATAGTAAGCAGTCTGGATTTTATCTCTGTGTAATGAGACATCATTGGAAGGTTTTAAGTGGGGGGTAATATAATCATTCTCATTTAGGAAGATGGTTACTGGGCTGAGAAGGGAAGCTCCATTAAAGCAGTGATTTTTGTCTTTTTTGTTCATTATTATATCCCAGTACCCAAAGCAGTTTAGAATATGTAGTCATTAAATAGTTGTTGAATGAGTGAAAGAATCCGAGAATACACTGTAGGAGGCAAGAGCAATCAAAGGCTCATTTTAGGAATCCAAATGGTGGTTGAAACCATAATTTTCTTAGTATACTGTACATGGTTTATTCTGTGGTTTTTGCATGGTGAATATTCTTACATTCGTTCACCTGAGGTAGCCTAACATTGTCGTTAAAAGTGTGGGCTCTAAAACCAAAATGCTATAGAGTGATGTCTGCAAGATGTCAGGAGTTCTCTACTGTCATTCATTCCCTCAAAGAACATAGATTTTGTCCGTTACTCATGGACAAGAGTACCTTTCTGGAAGTCTGAGAGTCTAGCAGAAAAGTTACAGCATACCATTGGGGG